AAATAGGTTTCTTTTCTCTTAATTATACTAATAGGAAATTATACTTTCTTATAAAATAATAACTTATTAGTTTTACACTTAATTCTTTATCTACTAGAATAGAACTAGACTAATACCCTTTTAAATAGGTAATAAATTAATAATATATCCTAGTGTTAATATAACTTACCCCTCTAGCTTAGCTACGTTATTATAAGCTATAAGATTAGAATAGCTTAACACTATAAGTACTTTAAATAGGTGTTTTAGTTTAATAATATTTTAAAAGGGTGTAATAAGGCTATTTATAATAGCTTTAATTAAGTCGCTTTTTAGCTTCTTATAATATTATATTAAGTGTATTATCTGCTATTATAATTTAATACTTCTTATTTAATTAAATAAATCTAATAAGAGATTAATAAGGTAAAGTAACTTATACGCTCTTTAATATTAAGTGTAGTATACTCGCGTATAAAAACTAAGGTTTCTTACTTTAAAGTAAAGTTATAAAGTAGCCTTAAAAACTAAAAGAATAATCTTATATTTACTAGTATTTAATAGCTTTTTATTTTACTCTTATTTAGCTAACTTTAAGCTTACACTTAACTATAATTATAAGATTATATAATAGGAAAGTAAGTATACTTACTATTAATTTTATTATTCTATAAGATACTATTAGTATAGGTTTTTAGAAATTAATTTTATAGTTTATTAAGTATTTCTATAAATCTAATATATTATTAGCTTTATTATTATATTTTAATATATTATAAAACGAATAAAAGCTTATAGTTTTTTAGTCTTATATAACTTTTATAAGAAGATATCCCGTATAATTCTTTAATAAAAGAATAAGCGTCTTTAAAGTTCTATTAAAAGCTTTAAGGGTCTTTTTATACTCCTTAAAGAAAGAGAAGTAATAATCATATATTTTAGTTTATTTATAAGCGCTTAATTAATATATTTAATCTCTTTTAATTTTATTAAGTTTATAGTTTTAAGAATAAAGATTATTACTTTATTCTTTAAGCGTTTAATATAGGTTTTAAAACTTCTTTAAAGTCTAATAAAGTAAAGTTATATTATAGCTAGAGCATTAAAAGTAGTGTAGTTTTATAGTTTTTAGTGAATTTTAATGTAGTATAGTATAGTGTAGTTTTACTATACTATATTACATTTTAAAAATTAGTGTAATATATAGTATTAATTAATCTGCCTGGCCAGCCTATCTGTCCGCGACGCGCCAATCCAGCGTCAACCAAACTCGACTGGCCCGAAGGCTTTGTCCCGCCTAGCACGCAACATCGTCGCGTTTCTTTTGTCCGGCCGGGTGCTGCGGCGGCTGTACCATCTGATTTCGTTCTCGAGACGCCATTTACCATTGCACATTGCATTTGGCTATTAGAATTATAAGAGTTTTAATCTTATTACTAAAACTATATAATAATTTATAGTATTAATTATATTAATTAATTTATCTTTTTATTATTTATGCCTAAAGTGTCCCTAGTATTATTACCCCTCACATCACCACATAACGTGACCGAGTCCACTTTTCTCCCTAACACCCCATCCGAATCTCGAGCTCGAGGCCCCCCCGGCCCGTTTCTTGACCTCGGGTCTTGGTCAACATAATTTATCAACGACTTGTCTAATGCTCTGCCCATTGATGATGGCGACTATCTCCGAGCATGATACCGCCGCCGCGAAATCCATTCGGCCAGCCAAGAAGTCCAGGCCCGCACAAGCGACGACACTCTCCAGATTCCCCCCAAAGGCCAAACGACGACGACGACGTGAACTGCCGTGCAACCAAGAAGCGAAGGCTCCGTCACCCCAAGTTCCCCCCGAGACAATTTTGGGAGAGATTATCACAGGTTCCCCTTACGCGGAACGCACTGCGAGCGTTGGAAGAGCAGAACACTCAGGCTCGCGCCGCAGTTCAACCCCAAACGCGCAGGCGTCCTCAGCAACACCCACGCTCCATTCATCAACCCGCCAGTCGAGTTGGTGATCCTGACTCGCCAACTTCCCTGAAGCGCATCAAGGCCTTTGCAAGGCACGGAGGCCCAAATCTAACACATTTGAGAAGTGTATGTATGTAATACCTCGTCGTCCAGAGACTACTATTAATATCCAATAGTATCCCGCTCCTTCAGTTTTACAGAGCGACATGAGCTCTCGACTGTCAAGTCTTGGACGGCGCAAAAGAGGATCACAGTCCTCATCCAAGACTAGTACCACGAAGAAGACGACGAGCACAAAGACCACCGGGCCGTATGATCGCGCGTTCCAGCAGCACCTAATCGATCATAATATTCTCCCCCATGGCTACGAGTATCCGGATGGCCGGTTACCCCAAGTACCCAATAACATTAACGAGATCCGTCAGGCACTAGCCCAGCCTAGGGCATCTCTATCACCATCAAAGTTCTCGGACGAAGACATTCGTAAGTTCGAGCGCGTCGACGCACAGGCACATAAAGAAAGAGAGGTTACTGCAAATGTTCTTCCTATCATTGAAGGCGATGTGGGGGATAAGAAGTGTATTGCTGGCCAGCTACCATTTACTAACCTGGAGCATGTGACCGATGAGACACTTGTGCCCGGAAATCCTGATATATATTATGGCGCACGTCCTGAACAGCTCCATAGGACCATCCGTCAAGAGCTAAGTAATTATATTATACCCTCTACTCAGCACGATCTTCCTATTGTGCCAAACTATCTATTTCAAGCAAAGGGGCCAGATGGCAGGCTATCGATTGCAATACGGCAAGCAAGCTATAATGGTGCCCTCGGAGCAAGAGGACTCCATCATCTGCAGTCATACAAGCTGTCAGAGCCAGAATTAAAATATGACAACAATGCATACACACTAACCTCCGTATACCATGGGGGACAGCTCAAAATGTACACTAGTCATCCTATACCCCCATCAGTTCATGGTGGGAAACCCGGCTTTGTCATGACGCACATCAACTCGTGGAGCATGGCCGGTAACTGCGATGCATTTCGGCAAGGCGCTACGGCTTTCCGGAATGGTAGGGATTGGGCCAAGCACCAGAGAGACACGGCAATCAATGAGGCAAACGAGAGAGCATCTCGTGACCGAGCAGCTACGTCAGCCTCGCTGGAAAATGGGTTGGGCTTGAGCTTTGAAAGCGATCCATCCGTTGGCACAGACATCTCCAGCCAAGAGACGAATGCCATATCCCATGTGCCAGTCCACGAGTCGGGATCGGAAACGGAAACGTCTGCAGATGAGCTATCTTTGGAATTTGAGCCTCAACGGAAACGGACCAAGTGACGTCAAAAAAGCGTGGATACCTAATTGTACTATAATACACCATATAGTTTAGCGTATTAGTATATATTTATTTAGACAATTGTTTAAAGCATTTTATCACGAAAAAGAATACGCTCTATTTGAATAGCAGTTTAACCCCTTGTATTCCGTTGACACATTTTTAACTGGTTGACAAAAAACATCTCCCCCTGTCGACGTCGGATTAGCTCGCACTTGGCGACACACGCACCCTTTCAAGTTCCGGTCGCGTATCTTCTACAAGCTTGAAGTCATACTCAAGCAGGATATGAAACATAGCAATTTTAGGCCCATTTGCGGCAAAGAAACGGCCTGGACAAGCATGCCTGCCGAACCCAAAGCCCACGTGTTCGCCCAAAGGACAGACGAGATGCGCAAACTTTTCTTGATCCGGATTCTCTCGCGTGCGTAGGAAGCGATACGGATCGAACTCGTTAGCGTTGGGGTACGCAGACTCGTCCCACATGTTATGTGCCGAAATCATAATAAGGGTGTTGTTGGAGATGTCCGTCCCGTTGGACAAAGAGATATGTATGGCTGGTTGCCACTCCCCGCATGGATACTACGAACGAACGTCGTTAGCTAGGGTACACCCTCTCTTGGGCAACTGAAATCATTCCAGTGCTCATGGGCTTCAACCCGTTGGCACTCCTTCGTCGTGCTATCCGTCAACTTGAGCTTGTACCGTGATTTCCTTTGCAAGCCCTTCAGGCAATACGGCAATGACCTCGTCTTGCAGGGCCTTGATGGGTTCATCCTTTCCGCACAAATCATGAATCAGCTGCGTCATCCTGTCGTTAGTAGTATGAATGGCGTCCATCTCAGCACGTACTTGGCGGCATCCAGAAAGAAACGGGCCGAAGCATCTTTGGCCAGATGCGCAGAGACTCGGCGACTAGGAAGGGATGCACACTATTCCACAATAATGCGCAACCAGTTTTGGTTGCGACATATTTCTTCAGAAAAACTAATGATGTCTCTATAGATGGTGGCAGGCATATCCTTCCTTGAACTCACCGGCTCGCGTTTTTTTTTTTTTTTTTTTCGGCTCTATCTTATTGTTCTACTGACTCCGGACAGGCACACACCCAAAGCTTGCGTTAGTCTTATCCTGACCGCATCTGGGAAGATTCGATTGTCCACCCAGACGAAGTTGAACTGTTCAAAACCTTTGAGATGTGCATTGAATTCCTAAATAGTGTGGCTGAATTATCTGCTTGGTGCAATTCTCCAAAAAGAAAAGCGGCATACCTTGGCAACAGCTTTCCCGAAACTCAAGTCGTGATGGTCGCACAGCTCCTCAGCGTACCGAGGAGACAGTATCATATTATAACCACTGTCTCCAATAACACGAACGTAATGTTTGACTGGAAACAGTGGTAACGAATCAGTTCAGGTCAACAATGATGTCGATATTGGATGTGGTAAATACCGACTTTGGCGAATCCAGCCTGAATCAAGATCGGCGCGTGAGCGACAAATCGACGTCTTGCATTTTGCGATCGAAATTCCCCTTTTCAAAGGCCATTGGCCAGTGGCAAATTAGATTTAGAAGATGGCACGGGAATATACAAGACGAGAACGACCAATCCTAGCGAGGAGGATGCATCAACGTTGGCATGTTCGTAAAGTAGGTTCAGAATTGCCGTCAATTTTTCACTGCAGTAATCAACTGGGCAAAGTGGCAAACATAAAAAGTGCTCTTCGGGGTGACGCCGATAGATTTTGGAATACTGATTGGCATCATAGGTCTGCCAGTCCATTTCGCATTCTGGGCCATACCTCAACAACTGGACCTGGAGACTTTCGAGATGAAAATTTGCCAAATGCTGCCGTGGCAGGTCTATCTTGTTTATCTTCTCTCACGTCCCGTAGCCGGCAGCAGCTTCTGTTGGGGTCTCTTGCGTTGACAATACATGCTCTGACCGAGGCGTCCGATGTTGTTCTGGGTATATCATTTTGATAATCGTAATGAACCGGGCACACGAGGCATTTTCGGCCGTTTCCTCGATCGTGTCTCTATCCGCATCCTCATGAACGAGACCAACCTGTCGTCGACTGAAGAATTTTATGTCCATGTTCGGCAGTCGACAGAGAGTGCCATGGCTCACTTTGCAAGTTATCAAGCCATTCAAAAGTCTCTGAGGAGCCAAGGGGACACAAGACACGACCCGCTCTTCGACGCAATGGTCGCTTATCACTCTATAAGTGACACAACTGGCACCCGGGAGCTTTTGGGAGGTTCACTCGACCTTCTTCCAGTACGGCCCAAGGGAGCTTCATAATTTCCGCTAATTGTTGAGCTAATAGAGATGCAAAAATGGCACAGTTTCCCTCAGTATAGAGTATAGAACAACAATATCCACCGACGACCGTGTCAGCCGTCTGCAATTGACCATTGTAGAGGTTCTTTCCAATCTTTGGAGAACAGCACCGCTGGAAACCCTCCCTAGCATCCAATCCAGAATTGGAGGACGCAGAAGGCAAAAGGGAGATTCATCCTCTTTCAAATGGTGCTAATGGCAGATATTTGGAAGGGCCCATTGATATCGTCAGGAATGCTTTTGCAGATACTCTCTTAATTGAATGTGAGAGAATTGGACATGACGACTCCTTCTCCCATATGGGTGGAAGTTCAGTTGGCCTTGGCCGGGTCCAGTCTTGCTTATTCTGCCGGGGGTATGATATGGTGCCCGTATCGGAGAAACTTGTCTTCATTCACGGGTCTGTAGCCCTAATCATACCACTTTTAAAAGTTAGTAATTATGCCAATCAAGTGTGGGAGGGGCACGCGGCAATTCAGCCTCAAATTAGACGATATATGCTTAACCTTGTTTCAGCCCTACCCCGATCGTCAGAAGCTCCCACCGTCATATATTACTTGCTCGCATATTTACTACGGTGGCACGTATCTATTTCTCGAGGTTAATGTCCGTCACTGGATCAGGTACCTAACTGTCGCGTCGTATAGTAGAATAAACTGCAGTATATTAATTAGTGTATACCCCTTGATAGGCAAATATTTTTCGGCAGAGCGACAAGGGTAACCCGCCATGTCCATCAGGCTTCCAAGTTCCGCCCAATCCCCTCAACCCATGTCCGATGATCATGGGTCGGGATCAAAAGGCTTGGCGATGCCACCCTGTCGGTGCACGAACATCAATGCTCGGTATTTTGATGGGCTTAGGTCCATCTGTCGGCAGAAGAACAGGGGAGGCGTGACGGCCTCGGCAGCCACTACCAGGACAGGATAGAACGCACGTGGAGCTTCGACGTTGGTCCTCTTGCTGGCCGGGGAGGAAAATACACCGCATTGTGGTCCCTTGTGACAATGTGGGTTAGGTCTGGCTGCTACCTCTTGGCTCTCGAGGTCATTGCAGGTTGACCCAACAATTAGCCTGCCTGTGATTCATGCGCATTGGCCTCGTGGCGTGACGAATGTTCCAGATTGGATATATCGCTCGTGGAACTCCACAAAGACTCGAGTCACTCACTCGACCAATGAATAAACTACTACTCGGCAAAGATGGCCAAGCATAAGAACGCCCAACCCGTCTTGTAACACCAACTCCAAGTCCGACCTGATGTCCGTTGTCGTGGAACTTTAAGCTAGGCTCGCATGCTGCTCTCCGCGTGCAAGACGCCATGTCACCTTGACCGTTACTAGCTGCAGGCAAGTCAAGCTGGTGGTGGTGTTGTCGCCATCGCTCTCGGGAGCAGCAGTACTATTTTTCGAGTATATAAACTGATAAACGCATGACCAAAAAATTTCCCGCAAAGGCTTTCATTCAGTATATCATGGGTATGCTCGCCTAGCCCGTGCCATCATGTTTCGATTTCTCCGGACCGTTTCCTTGGGACTTGTCCTCCAAGCAAGTCTTATTGACTCTGCTGTGACCTTCAGACGCCAGGCGTCAGTAGAACAGGGGTCCTTGGCTCTTGTGTCAACAAGTCCCCTAGAGTTCAAGTACACAACTGCAGAGCCGAGCCCCCGGAACTGGATTGGCCTTTATTACGCGGCAGGCGGCGGGCCTGACAACGGCGAATTTAACCAACCTTCTATTCGGTGGTCATATGCACCCGAGGCCCAGGGCTCTGTCAAGTTTGACAACGATGGACTTGGGTCGGGCGAATACAAGGCCTACTTCTTGGCAGATGACAAGTATAAGTCGCTTGCGGCGCCGGTACAGCTTGCTCTAGGCGAATCAACCAAATACCCCGGCTCAATCAGCGTTGATTACAGCAGAACTCCCATCAATATCAAGTACACTACAACTCAGGCCAATGACAAAAATTGGATTGGCTTGTATTTCGCCGAAGGGGGAGGCCCGGTAAATCAGGTAGAGGACCAACCATCCTTGACGTGGGAATGGGCTCCTGCGTCCGTGGGAGAGGTTACGCTGTCAACCAAAGACCTAAGCCCCGGAGAATACAAGGCCTTCTTCCTTGCCGACGGTGGCTACAAATGGTTGTCTGAACCAATCGCCGCACAGGCGCGGAACGCAGAACCATTCCACTTCATTGCCAAAGACATCACCACCAAGAATGCCCGCCAAGGTGACAAGTTTGAAGCCAGCCTCGGCAATCTCGTCAGCCAACCCGGTGACAAAGACACGAAATTCAAGATTGTTGGAGACGGGGACTGGGCTGTAATTAGCTCCTCAGGCGTCATCAGCGGCACACCTTCATCCAGCGCCAAAGACACGACGCTACGCGTCGAAGCACAGGACAAGAACGGAGTCACTGCCTCAATACCAGTACACATTCCTGTGCGCCCTGCAGGCTCCTCGCTTGTTGAGAACCTACGAGTTCTATCGTTCAACCTTTGGCATGGGGGCACACAGGTTTCCAACTATCACGAGAAGCAGGTGCGCTTTTTGGCGGACAAGAATGTCGACATAGTGGGATTCCAAGAGAGCACGGGAGGCCACGGCACTCGCCTCGCCCATGCTTTTGGCTGGTACTCATGGCAGGGCCCCGATGTTTCGATTATTAGTCGATACCCGATTACCCAGGTGTACTCGGCGACGTCTGTCTCGGGCTCGGTGAGGATTTCCTTGGATGGAGCTGATGGCGACATCATTGTTTGGAATGCACATCTCGGCTATGATCCATACGGCCCGTATGACTTTTGCTTTGACAAGATGAGCGTCGGTCGAGTCATGGAACGAGAGAGTCAGTCGGGCCGCACCCCGCAGATTCAGGAGATAACAAAAAAGATGGGTGACCACCTTTCAAACGCGGAAAATGTGCCTGTTTTGCTCTTGGGAGACTTCAATGCCCCGTCTCACCTGGACTGGACCGAGGCCAGCAAGAATCAGCATTGCGGCATTGGTCAAGTCGCCTGGCCGACGTCCAAGTACCCAACTGATGCTGGGCTGATTGATTCATTCCGGGTGGCGCATTCGGATCCCGTGGCAACACCCGGTATTACTTGGTCCCCAATCTATCTGGATAACAACGGCCGACCGGAGCCTCTGGATCGAATTGACTTTGTCTATCACAAAGGCCGCAAGCTTACGGTTCGGGATTCCGAGGCGGTTGTAGTAGGCAACCCAACAGCGGAGCCAAATCACGGCAACAACGAATGGACGTCAGACCACAAGGCAGTTTTGACGACTTACAGTGTGAAGGCTTAAGAATCAAAGAGGAAAAGCAGTGGAAGAAGTTGGAACGTGAAGTATTCAACTACCACAGGAAGGCCCCAAAGAAAGTTGGAAAACGAACTAGTTGATATCAATTATTCACAACCAAATACATCTAGTCTCAATCGTTAGAAATATGAGTATAAGCTGGGCGACTGGCAAAGTGACTATCGCTTCGGTGAGAAACGCCGTCATAAGAGGAACATAGTTGCGGCTGTTGACATTATCCTAAATGAGAAGTAGATTTTTTTTTTCATACATATATACATATTTGAGTCTATAACATGCGTTTGTGAAGACTGTTAAGTAGCTCAAGTTCCATGCGTACAACTTGTGACAGCATAAAGCATCGTTCCATACTCATCCACGCCTTCCAGCCAGCGATCCACTCTATTACACTGTTCCAGAATAGCCGCCTGCCCCGTATCGGACGACACTGGCCAAAGTTCATCAATCCGGAGCTTCCCAGTAGGCCAGTCAGCCAAATCCAGGCTGTACGACGTTTCCCAAGTCCCCCTCTCTGTGGCTTGCCAGAGCACTTTGGATGCCGGGGCAGGGAGTCCTGTCAGTTCTGTGCCGAGGAACGTGGGAAGACCATCTAGAGACGATAAAACACTGTCAAAGAGATACATTGTGAAGAGAGTTCGCCTTTTGGCTTCGGCGACAACCCAGGCCTCCCATCTCGGCCGGGCACGTTGCTGCTCCTCGGCACACACCAGGCCGTGCCGGCAGCTCATGGCTGCGAGATCTTGGAGATTCATCATTACCTCCCTCATGCCAGCATCTGGGCCCTGGTCGAGTCTAAAAAACAAGCACATTGCGTAAAATAAAAAGGCTTGAAACGCCGCTAGCATGGCCATGTAGTCGTAACCACTGCGAATTGCGTAGATGCTTGCCATCTCTCTGCGCAAAAGATCAACAATGACGCCCTCACTCCCAGGAGCAGGCTGCTCACACATTCGAATCAAGCTCAGGCAGACTGACAATGGCGACATGGTCGCAAGGGCACGCACCTGCAGCAGGTATATGAAGGTTGGTACCATGCGACCTCTTGACGCAACTGCTACATAGGATCTCAGAACCTTGCTGATAAACAACGTAATATTGCCGGGTACTGCTTAGGTCGTTGTCCAAGTATGGGGACAAAAAGGGTTAGCCAACGGTTTTGGATGTCATCCACTTTTATAGGGCAACAGAGCTTGAGACGAGAAAAGTCGGGCGTCCCGTGAGGCGCCCGCCTGGTGGAGGGGTTGTAGTCCCGGGCTAGCCAAGCTTGATGTTCCGGAGTGTCGGAGATTGTAGCATGTTGTTCTTCAGGCGCTTCTGAGCTTCTCGTAGAGTTGTTGTTTGTCACGACGGACCCGGGGTACATGCAGCGAATGCCACGAGCTGCACATCTCGAACACTGTCCTTGGCCCCGATCGCACTTTGCCTTGGCAGTCGAGCAATTCTCGCAGACTTTCTGACGGGACCTAGAGTACCTGGAGGACCCTTTCATACCTGCATGGGTAGCACCAGTACGTTGCTTAGGATCCGACAACTGATGAGAAGAGAAGGAGCCCAGCTGTGTCTTTGGTTTAGGGCCAACGCAGCCCCAAGTTACCAGGTCTTTTGTTTCGGGAATGTATGAGACTGATGAGTTGCCCCGCATTGGTTATAGACGTTCCTGTTCGTCGCCACATCAGGTTATAGTTACAAACCCCACATCTATATCATGAACGTTTATTAGTCTAAGAACTCAAGTTGTTTCTTCTTTGGTCAAGCTGGGGTAACTTCCCAATTAGCAAAGAAGCGAATTTAACAACCCTGAGGGTAAGCCGTCATGTTCTTCTTCTACAAAAGTATGCCGGAACCGCGTAGTAAGCACCTGTCAGCTCTCTCCGTCAAGATTGACTTCGGTATTTCAAACCTGTGGCTGCAGTGGTTTCTTCGAGAGAATATTTGCATCAAGGGTTCAGGAACTGCTAAACAGGCACCACGTCCCCCGGCTTGCAGCCGCCATTGTGGAAGGCGATGCGATTGTCACAGCAGTTTACGGCAAGCTATCCATGAACCATCGCGTGACTGCTCCGAGGAAATGTTTTTCGACGCGGTGTCGACTTCCCAAAGCCAGACAGATACCGTTTCAGTGACGGTGGAGGATATACTCAGCTAGCGGACCGGCATGGCCCCGTAAGATTCATAGCCTGTGGTTTATGAGTGACCCAGAACACAATATACGGGCGCGGTTGACGAACCCTAGGCACGGCTCCTCCTACATGAGTCCACGAGCCAGCCAACGTAACGTAAAGTCTGTTAGTCGGAATTTAAGGAGTTTAGCGGCGGCTGCGCCAACTCGCCCCAAGTATATGAACTGCGGCATCATGTACACTGCCGCTACGCACCTTGTGGAAAAGTTGAGCGGGTTAAGTTTTGCCGAGTTGTTTGGTCGTTGCTCTTTCCAAATGGCGCTGGACTGCGTACATACTACTACCGTGGCTATGCAGTTTCATGCCTCGCCCGAGGCATGTACACCGGAACATACCATGATACTGGCTATCGTTAGCTGCTCGTAGTCACCCGACAGGAAAGATTGTACATCGACGCATCTGATCAGTCGTTGGCTTTTCGCTTGAGTTCAAAATATTTGCAAACAATAAAGGTATTTCGCCGGTATGGGGCTTAGTGACGTCCTTGGTGGCATAGACGGCGGCTTGATAAAAGCAGAATTCCGGATGGAGAAGGGGAAATTCATGCTGAGACTACAACTAGAGCCAAAACTAGGTCGGCTAATTGACTTGACCGTGTGTCCGGGGATTTATCAACGGCAATTATGGGACACTTGGTAGCTTAGTGGTTAGAATTTTGAGGCGCTGAGAATCACGATACAATCAACAACGCAATCTCTTCCTCTGGGTTTGAATTAACGCTCGATTATCCTTTATATTGATTATTTTCTATCATAGCATACTAATAGTCCCATTGCCGTAAAGCTCCAAGGTGTGATGCTTGCCACAGCGCTAATGATCACATGTAATGGCATGATGGGAGACCAAAGGTGACCCCCATACACTGGAAGACATTGTGCAAATGCAATGTGGCTGCAGGTACTTGCTGACTTCTGTATCCTATCGTAGACCATTGGTGCGTAAACCTGGGGTAGCAAGATGCCACGCCATAAACAAACAGAACAGACTGCAGAAAAGTATTCAGCTTCATAAAATCGTTCTCTTATCTCCTTAATCATCCGACAAAGCTCCTCCGGGAAATTGCTGGCAGGAACACACATTCGGTAAGCTAAGAATCCGAACAGTTTCCCGGAGCAAAGGCATCTCTAAGGTCCTTGAGTTGCTGAGTAATCTTGTTGCCCTCATTTTGAACGGTGTCTTTGAAGATACTTGGAACTTTGGACACAACGGCGGTAATGAGAGCGACGCTATCGGTGACGCCTGTATCAAGAAAGCCGTACGTTGTTGCGCACTGTTTATACTGCTGAATGAGGTCCTTCTTTGCTTTGAGTTGGTCCGAGAGAGCCTTTCCCTGCTTTTGAAGATCTTGTGCCGGTGCGAGCAACGACAGACATTCAAAAAAAGACAACGGGGTCATGTTTTTGACTGCCGTTGTGCCAGATTCAACCTTGGCCAGAAGGCCGGAGGCGGCGGTCTTCAGAGGCCCAGGATCGCCATTAAAGTCTTTCGCAGCGGCAGCGAGGGCAACAAAACCATTCTTGACATCTGCTAGTACCGAGGTAGCTGTTGCCAAGTCACGGTCTACAAGGGTTGGCACAGAGCTATCAACTCTTGTAGGCGGCGGAGCAGCAACCAAGGAATACGCCCTGGAGGCTAGGCAGAGAAGAGCAACAGTAACGGAGAGTTTCATCTTGATGATTATGCTGTCAAAGGGCTGTGATTGGTTAATATATATGTTGCAGTCGGCGACTCCGTTTTCTGATTTCCATATGAACAAGTGGGACGTCTTCGTCGGTGTTGCTATACAAGACGATGCCGCACGAAAACTGGTGGAGGAGGAGGGATTTATGGCCACGACACTGTTCACGCTCTCCGATCAGAGTGTAACACGTCTTTTGGCAAAGACGGGAGACATTCAAGGGTCTATTGCCTGATGCTACCCCCCACCACACCATCAAGGCTGGCAAAGCAGAAATGAGACACAGAGCGTTCTTACCTGCCCAACCGCCTGCTTCAAATGGCTAGAGGGGCTTGTAGCTATATTGCCGTTGTCTCTTTGTGGCGTTTAGTGGTCATGCGTAATTTTCAACAAAAGTTCTCCCCGCCTCTCTTTTTTCGGTTTTTGAGCCAAGGTCAGCGTTAATGACGGCGGAATATCCTCAGAAGAGAAGTTGGGTGCGAGCGCAGTTTTTTTTGGTCATGAGTCGTCAGCAATAAGGTTGAAAATAGCCCATAGACGTCTTTCCCGGAAGCCTGTAACGGGAAGGTTGCGTCGATGAGCAAAACGACTGAATATGAACAGCCGGCGTTGCATAAGGCTTGCAGTGATTGCTCGGGCTATCTTGGAGGTTGACTTGGTCCTTGCTATAGAATCCGTAGCAGAATGTCTCACCGTGTAAGCTACGAGACGGCTTTTGCGCATGTACTTGGCTTCGTTCTCTTGCGATGGCTTCTCAAAAATTCAAGTTCGGTCGGCAGACGATGGAGCCGAGAAACGTCCAATACCCCAATTTGATTTAGATTTAAATCTCGAGTAACATTGTAAAATGCCGCTAATTTAAAAATGTCCAGGGCGTCAATCAACATCTCTGGCAGTCGCTAGACATTGTTTTCAAGTTTCATGCCCCCGCCTAGTTCTTGACTTGTCCAGCATTCTTCAAAGCGCGGTAAGCGCATTTGTCGTAACAGTGCAGATACCACAGCAATTGCTCCTCGCGTCTCGGACGAGTGGCCCGGACGGAGAATTGTGTTAAACGCAACTGGATGCGAGAGACGGCACTCCCTCGCGGGCGTTACTTCCAACTGCTTTCTCCTGGGTGTTTATATTCGGGTTCGTCTGGTTAATCGTAGCATTACGCTATGGTACCAGGTGGTATCTTGGGCGTGTAGCGTAGGCAGCTTTGACCTTGGCCATCTCGTCCTTCCTTGTCGCACACTGCTTGCTTGTGACAAGGGCTCGTTATGAGGGCTTGGAGCAAAAGGGACTAAATTCAATAATAATCTCGTAGGATGTCAAAGGTCCTGAGTTGCTTCAAGGGAGGGAGGGAGAGGTGATCTTATATATACATGAAAGGAACGCCCGGGCCTAGGGATCTAGCCCGGGCACGTGTTCCAGCTGTCTAACCAATAAGTCCTTTATCGGTGAAGCCCCTTTGTTGGGCTTCACGATCTGTTGGGCCTTTTCCGTGTAACATTGCTCCATGCCTCGTGGCCCCCTCTACAGTTGGTGCACTTCTTGGAGACGCTCTTATCAGACTTTGTATGACATTCCCGGGATGCATGCTCTTAGGCGCAGTAGCCGCATCTCATTATTGCCTTGCACTGGGTTCCTATGTGGCCGTATCCTTGACAGTTAAAGCATTACCTCAGTCGGCACAACCTTGTGTGATTAGGACCCAAAAGAACTGCGACTGATAAAGTGTGCTAGATTATTGCCTCTAATATACTCTAACAGAATCTTGTCCAAGTACTGTATAGATAGATGCTAGATGTCGATCAAGAAGCAACATGCATTGCACCCTAAATAGCTCAGCCTATCGAGCTGTGGTAATCGGCGAATGGGTGTGAACATTTCCACCTCTTCATTTTCAGCATGAGGGTTGTGGCTGTCCATGGATGTTCAAATTCATCCCGACTGCGACAACAAACCCGTTTACATGGTTCTGGGCGGGAATCAGATCTGTGTTATCGCAGAGTATACGCCAAATGGGACGTTGAAGGACTCCCAAATTTAACTGCATGATCGTCTTAATACACTGCAAATTGCAAGGTCAAACTTCTTCTCGAGTCTCTCTCATTTGATCAACATTGTGCAGAGGCACCACGAAGGGATCGGGCATCGAAGCTCATGCTTTGTCCATAGCAAAGTTGATATCAAGTGACAAGCAAGTACCTACCCTCATGAAGCGTTTTTCTTGATCAAAGGAGCGGCTTTGATGGGGCGCTGGTGAGTAAAAAAAAATTAGTTTTACAAAGTCTGCAACCCAACATTAGCTATGGCCTCGCAGTTATGCCTGTAGATTTTACCTGCGTACTTGCCGAATCACTTTGCTCAAATTATACTCACGGAAGATGATTTATCCACCAGCCAATATAAATGACTTTTATCAAGGAACTAGGCACAGGCTGAGCCATGGTCTGTCCGGTACCATGACAGCTTGCGATAAACGCGACGAAGTGACAACCACTATGCAAGTCAACGCCGCAAGGAAAATCACCATAGCCAATACCACAGGCACAACCTGCTCTTCCTTTATTCTTTCCAATATGTTTGCGAGGGAGAAGTGCAAAGGAAGTATGTTTCCACCTCATACTCCTGTGGCTGTTGAGGTTCAATCTCAGACGACCATATCGGATGTCGAGGACGGACCTTCATACCATGCACATGCTGAAGTAGAAGCGGCGCTTTTATTGCTCCATGCCTCGTGGCCCCCTCTACAGTTGGTGCACTTCTTGGAGACGCTCTTATCAGACTTTGTATGACATTCCCGGGATGCATGCTCTTAGGCGCAGTAGCCGCATCTCATTATTGCCTTGCACTGGGTTCCTATGTGGCCGTATCCTTGACAGTTAAAGCATTACCTCAGTCGGCACAACCTTGTGTGATTAGGACCCAAAAGAACTGCGACTGATAAAGTGTGCTAGATTATTGCCTCTAATATACTCTAACAGAATCTTGTCCAAGTACTGTATAGATAGATGCTAGATGTCGATCAAGAAGCAACATGCATTGCACCCTAAATAGCTCAGCCTATCGAGCTGTGGTAATCGGCGAATGGGTGTGAACATTTCCACCTCTTCATTTTCAGCATGAGGGTTGTGGCTGTCCATGGATGTTCAAATTCATCCCGACTGCGACAACAAACCCGTTTACATGGTTCTGGGCGGGAATCAGATCTGTGTTATCGCAGAGTATACGCCAAATGGGACGTTGAAGGACTCCCAAATTTAACTGCATGATCGTCTTAATACACTGCAAATTGCAAGGTCAAACTTCTTCTCGAGTCTCTCTCATTTGATCAACATTGTGCAGAGGCACCACGAAGGGATCGGGCATCGAAGCTCATGCTTTGTCCATAGCAAAGTTGATATCAAGTGACAAGCAAGTACCTACCCTCATGAAGCGTTTTTCTTGATCAAAGGAGCGGCTTTGATGGGGCGCTGGTGAGTAAAAAAAAATTAGTTTTACAAAGTCTGCAACCCAACATTAGCTATGGCCTCGCAGTTATGCCTGTAGATTTTACCTGCGTACTTGCCGAATCACTTTGCTCAAATTATACTCACGGAAGATGATTTATCCACCAGCCAATATAAATGACTTTTATCAAGGAACTAGGCACAGGCTGAGCCATGGTCTGTCCGGTACCATGACAGCTTGCGATAAACGCGACGAAGTGACAACCACTATGCAAGTCAACGCCGCAAGGAAAATCACCATAGCCAATACCACAGGCACAACCTGCTCTTCCTTTATTCTTTCCAATATGTTTGCGAGGGAGAAGTGCAAAGGAAGTATGTTTCCACCTCATACTCCTGTGGCTGTTGAGGTTCAATCTCAGACGACCATATCGGATGTCGAGGACGGACCTTCATACCATGCACATGCTGAAGTAGAAGCGGCGCTTTTAATATGAGAAGGCCTGTTGCATTATATACGCGTTAAACGATGACATGTTAGACTAGTAGTAAAACGGTGGAGGAAAGCGAAAATCGGACAGTCAAAGTTGGGATGAACTTTGACTTTGGCTGCGCTGTTTATTTCTCGCATCGCCAATCGGGAGGACTCCAGCCTCTGATAAATTCGCCTATTGAACTCCGCAGTTGTGAAAAGGGCAGGGTTACTGGGCTTAGAATATGGGGTCCTTTTCGATCTTTAGTATCAAGGATCCTTGGTTATCTAAGAGGCCTTGAAGGGTCAGAGCTCTTTATAAATACAAGATTCAAGAAGTCGGTGACCCCTCGCAGCCTGAGGCAGCCCTCGCCAAGGTGCGACTCCGGGCTCTCGTGATACCTTTCTTTGTTGTTGCGTAACCTTCGTTATCCGCTACGTTTGTCCGATCTAGGCCGCGTGACAGCAGGAGCGCATTATTGATTGTAGACTCTGAGACAAACAGCGGCAAGGGTGTTGGCAAGCCTTTTATGCGCGCCACTCGCATGAGAGACGCTCAAGGACCAAGGCAGCAACAAGCAAAAGCCAAGTCGGGCAAAATGAACAAAACCAATGCCTCAAAATTGCAAGTCTATGTCCCCAATGCGAATGATTGGGGGCGATCAGCAGTTGTCAACGTCGGCATTGATGTCACTTGCCTAAGTAGGAATGTAACCCAGGCGCTGTCTAACCATGAACCCAGCCTGTGTATGCTTTGTGAAACGTGTTCTTAATTACCCTTACAGATGAATGCGGTCTCCACCTTGGGCCATTATGGCTCATGAGTTTTGTTGAGCAGTTCTCACGACTGCCCTCCGGATCCATCCTACGTTACGCTGCTCCGAGGGGGGTTCCCAAGTTGGGGTCACGGTGACTGCACGTGTTGGATATAGCATTTGCATCCATGTCCAGCTACTTGCTGGACTGGGACAATGCGGTCCTGTGACACCAAGCAAAATAAAGAGGACATTCGTGGAGCAGGTTAAAGCCAAGGGCTATATAAGAGCACACTCTAACCTCCTCCTCCAACCTGGTTTTCAAACAAGCAAGCTCAAAACCGAGATAAGCGTCCATTGTGCTCTCGCTATTAGATCCAGGTGTTTGCTAGAACTGGCAAATTTACCCTGGTCCTTCCCAGCTGATTTTTTCAACATGGCACCGCTCTTCAACACGGGTTTCGTGTTGTTACCCATTATAGTATCGACACTACTTGGTCCCATACCGGCCTTTGCGCAAAACGGAACGTGCGCAACTAAAGGAAAGCCCGCAGGCAGGGTTCTTCAGGGATACTGGGAGAACTGGGACGGAGGGAAGAACGGCGTGCACCCCCCGTTTGGATGGACTCCGATCCAAGACGCCCAGATCCGGCAGCATGGCTACAATGTGATTAGCGCCGCCTTCCCCGTCATCCTGCCTGACGGCACAGCCCTATGGGAAGACGGCATGGACGTCAATGTCAAGGTCGCGACGCCGGCTGAAATGTGCCAGGCCAAAGCGGCCGGTGCGACCATCCTCATGTCCATCGGTGGCGCCGCCGCGGCCATAGACCTGAGCTCGAGCACCGTTGCCGACAAGTTCATCTCGACCATTGTGCCCATTTTGAAAAAGTACAACTTTGACGGCGTTGACATTGATATCGAGGCCGGCCTAAGCGGCAGCGGCAGCATCAACACACTGTCGGCCTCGCAGGCCAACCTGATCCGCATCATTGACGGCATCCTTGCGCAGATGCCGTCCAACTTTGGCCTGACAATGGCGCCAGAGACGGCATACGTGACGGGGGGCAGCGTGACATATGGATCCATCTGGGGTGCCTATCTTCCCATCATCAAAAAGTATGCCGACAATGGCCGGTTGTGGTGGCTCAACATGCAGTACTACAACGGCGCCATGTACGGATGTTCAGGAGATTCATACGAGGCTGGCACAGTCAAAGGCTTCATTGCCCAGACAGACTGCTTGAATAAAGGACTCGTGATCCAGGGCACCACCATCCGGCTTCCTTACAGCATGCAAGTCCCTGGTTTGCCTGCGCAGCCGGGCGCCGGTGGCGGATACATGTCGCCCAGTCTGGTTGGACAAGCATTGGATCATTATCATGGCTCTCTCAAAGGCCTCATGACATGGTCTATCAACTGGGACGGATCCAAGGGCTGGACCTTTGGCGACAACTTGAAGCGGCGCCTCTGAAGGAGCTGGTAGCACAAGAGCGTTGACGTTGACCACGGAGAGCGGCGCGTGTTGTCTCACAGCCGAGTCCTATGACGCACATGATACAAAGCCATCATCCACATGATGCTTGGACGCACGTGTTACCTTTTCCCATTTCGCTCTACGACGATGTTCACGACAGCCTTCTACTCACATGTATATAGAGTGTATATAGAGACACTTGATGTATATATTTCCCACAATTGTATTGAAGAGGATGATAAATTCCAACGTATTTACTCCTGCCATTTGATTGGCTTGTAGGCGCAGACTGCATATGGTCCTTGATAGGGCGCCCTCATCTGGCGCATACCGTGTCTCGAGCATGAGTTTCCTATCCCGTCTTCCAACCATTACGAGCCACAACTGCGTAACGGAGTTACCAATCATGAGTTGGCAAGCCCTTGCCGGTTTCTCTGCGGTACATTGCTTCGGACCACCTCACCCAATCTTGGAACGTGGTGTGTGGAAGACAAGCAATAGTTCACCATTGCCTACTTCGTTCCCCAAAAAATAATATAATAGTAATAGTCACAGTTAAAAAACCGGTTTCAAGGAAACAAGCGGACAATACTTTGTCGCTCCGACACGGTTAAGCTGCAACGTGTTCAAGAAACAAGTACGCACAAAGTAGGCTTGGCACACGCGGTTGACGAGAACATCACGGCATAGGGCACACGCCACAAAGCGCACAGATTGTCCTTTGTCCATGACAATCAATCGACAAAAGACGCCGAGTTGCACTATACAGGTGAAGATATCTTAGCAAGTATTGTGCATTGCTATTGTTGAGGTTGTGAATAGGGCACAGATCATGGAGACGCCCCTGCTCAAGCTCCCTATGCGACCGCCGGGCCAAATTTGCAAGAGATTGAAAAGCCAACGGGCGTAAACCATGTAAGCCATTTATTTATTTATTTCTTTTTTTCGGCTACTATTTCCTGGCATAGAGCCACGTTCTACTGCGTTCACGCCCAAAACAGAGACTCCCCCAGTGTTGCTGCTGTGAACCATTGGTGAGGACGACCCAAGTGGCCGGGTAAAACGCCACATGGACCTTCACTGATAGGCCTTCAGCCTACGTAGAGGGCATTGGTTAGAGTCTGCCTGGAGTCTGCTTCCTCCCCCTCCGGTTCCTGCACCATGGCAGTCGCGCATATCACATCTCACATCGGAAAACCAATGCCCTGGGCGTCAAGTTGAGCAGTATTCTCCGCGCCCGGGGAAAACGAAACAAGAGTTTACCGGGCCAATAGAAACAGTAAATAGACGGGAAAGGCATCCCATTCATTCATAGCCACCCAACTAATAAATGGTTGGGTGGGTGGTTTGGTCTTTGCAAGCCCCCCGTCGTGTGCTCATCACGCCCGGGTTGAAGCAGACGAGCCACTTCGCGGAAACCTGGTGGCCAACTCTGCCACAACTCATTGTCTGCATGAGGCGTCGTTTTATCACAGCCACTGAATACCGAGAGGACGGGATTTGGAGGGAACTCGGCCCACCCACAAGGCCTCTTTTTCTTTTCAAGACTCCAAAGCTGTAGAATCAACCTTCATCCTTTGCATTACCACGCCGTGAAGCCACTCTACATGCAGGATATCTTTAGGGATATTTAAAAACTCTCGTAGCGCTTGCAATGGTCCATGCCATGTTTGTTTCAAGAATCTTCACCGGCAACACACCGTCGTGGACATGGTCACTGTTGGACCCTACCTACATCCTATGGTGTATATACTCTTCCATCTTTGCATCCCCACATAGTCTCGCCATCACAGGTGCATCTCAAACAGACATGGAGACAGTCGGTGTTATAAACACCCGCAAGATGCGGTACACCGGACGGGGCCTGAATTGTCTCAAGTCCGGCGGCCTCAACCCTCGTCGTGATGCCCACTGCTCAGAGGACTTGCACAACCAAGAGCCCTTTCACAGCCGGCACTGGAGCCAGAGCAAGGTTCATCTTGTCCCTTTTCCGCCGACTGCGCAGCTCAAGCGGCGGATTGGCCACTATCCACTTACATCTCAACTTGCCGGCTGGGTCTTGGACGCCTTCACCAACTACAGTCCCTCGACAGAATGCATGGACCTTGTGCGGCCCTTTGGTGCCGAGTTTCACGAGGTCCTCGACAGGGAACGTGCCGCCGGCACCGGTCTTCACAATCTCAATCTCGTCGAGTTGACCTACCAGGTGACCCTGGAAGTTGGCGCGGAGATCCTCCTCGCCGCGACTGAGAACGGCAACACGGGAGACATTCAGCCCGAGTTCCACTCGTCTCAGGCCGCTCGCGATGAGCACTTTGCTCCGTGGGGGAAGCTGCTCACCGGTCTGGTCTGCGACCCCCCCATCATCTCCCAGTTCCCCTTCTACCTCATGATGTGTCAGTCGTTTGGCCTCGAGACCAACTCCAGCCAGGAAAACTACGTCTACTCGGCCTTGACGGGCGTCGACTGGGCCAAGGGCAAGAACGTCTACAGCGAGCGGTTCCGGGCCTTTGAAGAGCGCGCGCGCGCCTCGGTGCCCAACTTGGACGACAGGCTCTCCGGACAAGATCGGTCGTTCTGGCGCGTCTCACTCGCATACCTCGCCGCCATGAACAAGCTGGAAAACTCGAGGGAGTTTACTACCCCTCGAGTGTCGTACATCAAGACGGGTCTGGACCCTCTGCTGCTCATGGCCGTCCGCGGCTTCGACACCATCGGGTCCGCCTACATGTGCAGCGACGGGGCCGCGTACCTGGACAACGCGGGAATGGACTCGCTCGTCGGGTCCGCCGTTCCCAATGACGTTATGGACCTTCACACGGACATATATACCGGGGAGACACGCAATCTCCTCCGGCTGCTGTATCCCAGCGGCCAGAGCTTGGACGAGGCCATGGGCACCATGTCCACGGTCCTCTCGGGCATGCTTTGCGAGCTCTTCCGCGGCCATAAGCTTGCCAGGTTCGAGGGCCGCGAAGACGGCCGCATCGCCGCCACGTCTCCCCCGTACAGCTTTTGCCGCGCCCGCCACCGCCGCATCTTTGAGGTCATGGAGGCCTACACCAGCAAGTACCCCGACTTTTGGCAGTGGACGTGGGACATCCTGGGCCGCGCCAAGAGGCAGATTACCGAGGCTGGTCTCAACGAGCTTCTTGTCGAGGCTCTCGGCCGTGGCATCAACCGAGATCCGCTGCCGGACTCGCCCTACAATGCATTCTTCAACGGCTACTTTGACATGATTGAGAAGAGCCAAGAGCCGAGCAAGCTCAACAAAGCTCTTGGCGTACAAAACGAGCTGGCCGACCTTGTCCGCGAGATTCATGACCTGTGGCACAGACAGCTCCTGGACCCCGGCAAGAAACCCGGCTGGGGCCGCAGGTTTGACGAGAAGTCGGACGCCCTGTTCAAGCAGGCTGGCGAGCTTCTTGGCGGCAAGGGAGGCATCACCAACGACGTGTACAAGTTTGCTATTGCCTACGGCCGTCTGAGCATGGCCCTGCCATATATTGCCTACCACACGATTGACGCGATTATCCTGTCGTACGGTACTGTGTAATTCAGTAAAGGCTGTAATGCGTATACGAGGTCCACGTTTCCGTAATGTAATATATTCTGTAATGTCCAAGAGATTGACTCGTCGTCGACTTTATTCATCAGGCTATAACTAGTATTAAACTGTGTCTTGAAGCGGCCTCAACAGGCCCCTGTACCTTGCAAGCATCCAAATACTCTCACCCAGCACTATCGACCAATGCTCTCAATCCACCCATTAGCAGCCCCTTCCTTTTTCCGTGTCAAGGCCCATAATCTTCACATACACACCAGGTGAACCAACCACGGGCCTTGGTATAAAACAGTCGCGGGCTGGCAAGATGTCCCGCTCCGTGGTGCCGACAAACTCGAAATCGAAGCGAGTAACCAGCGCCGCCGCCGTCAGGTACAATTCAGCAGTCGCAAGACTAGTCCTCGTGTCAGTGGCTATTCCAAAACACGTTCGCAACCAGGCAATGTCGATGCAGGCTCACTTTTGGCCAACGCATTGGCGGCTGCCCTTTGAAAAGGACACCATGTACTTCTGGAGAGGGACTCCCTCCCTCTCGGCCTCGAGCCACCTCTCGGGAGAGAACGTGGCCGGGTTTGGGAAAATGGTCTCGTCCATGTGAACCCAGTAGTTGGTTGAGCTCAACGGCGTCTGGTCAAGCAATCAGCTCCCTTCCATCATCATTCATCAGGTCTTCGCAACTCACCCCGGCCGGTATGACATGGTCCCTATACTGCAGCGGCTCATTTGCAATTCGCGGCAAACGACCAATGGCACCGTGGTCGAACCGCAACGCCTCAGTAACCACGGCGCTCTGGACAACATGTAAGCAGCGTTCGCCAGGAGGCACGTCAGACTTACCAGATATCGCCGCCGCTCCAGCCATTTCAGCAGCGACGACTCGGCCGCGCCGTCGGGCATGTCCCTCAGGTCCTCCCTCAACTTGGCAAGGACGCGGGCATCCCGCATCACATACCACATGAGCAACGTCAGAGTCCACGAGGTTGTCTCGCTCCCCGCGCCCATGAGCGACTTGCCCTCGTCGCTCAGGCGCTGAAACGACTTTTCCTCGGGCGGCAGGTCGCCGCTCAACAGCGTCGAGAAGACGGACTTGTCGGCAACCGGCTTGCCCGCCCTCGCCGCCGCGACCAACGTCTCGACCCTCTTGTTGACAATGGCCTCCCATTGCAAGAGACTGGCAAACGCGCCGCTGATTCGGCGCAGCACGAGGACGGGCATGGACTTGATTATGCCCACGACCCATGGGAACTGTCGGATAAACGCACCGGCCTCGACGGCCGTTAAAAGCACGCCCTTGAAGCTCTCCTGGAAGTCATTCTTGCTCAGGCAGTCGTAGCCCTCGCCGAAGCTGTACTCGGTAATGATGTCGTTGGCAAGTGCGAAAAATGCAGCGTCGAGGCGCACAACCTTGTTCCTGCGGGCGATGTCCCTGAAGCGGTCGCAGAGAAGATGCACTTTGCTCTGGATCAAATCTTCAATTTCGTAAATGGCCTTTTTGGAAAAGGACACGTTTAACGCTTTGCGGCGGATACGGTGGTGGTCATGGGGGCAGGTCGCAAAGGCACCGGTTGGCACGCCGAGGAAGACGACATAGTCTGCGTACTTGTCGCGCTTTTTCGAGGCCGGCGCATATATCTCGTCGTAGAAGCTTGTGTCGAGGATGTGGACTTCGCTTGGGTTGATTCGAACAATGGGACCTGTTATGGAACGTGTACTTAGTCGACTAGTTGCAAAGGGGAACCAGAAGTATGAGTAGCGCCGGCATCACAATCACGTTGCCCGGCATGGACGTTGGGGTCCCAATCGGAGCACTGTACCGTATTCATCATGCATCCGCTTGATTTCCCAGCAAAATGCCCCTCGGCCGACTACATCGTAGTAGAACTCGTACCAACTGGTCGCCGCGGCCAACTTGGGCCCTGGGATTTTCGCCAAGGGGTGAAAATACAGGCGATATATGACCAACGAAATGAAATAGACTGGGGTAGCCAGTAGAAGGAATAATATGACACCAGAGGCCGTTGTAGCCATGGTTTGGCCGGGTATGTTTTGGAGTGCCGCTCAGAGATGTTGCCAAGGGAGAGTATACTCGACCGTCACTTATGGAAGGGAATGTCAGGCACAGGGTATGGACTTGTTTAAGTTGCGAGACTCCTACGAATGTCGAATTGGGTCAAGCGAACCGACGTGGTTTCACTGGCTATGGATTATGGCATGCCACGTTTTTTAAATCACCGACGCCCGTGAAGCAGCCAGCCAACATGATGATGCCACCAAGTCAATGCGCACTGCCGTCCGGGGGGGTACAGCACTTGACCTGTGAATAGTACCTGCTTAGATTGACCCTCGTGGAGTGAGGTTATGACGGCGCCTGAAAAATGGCAGACATGTAGTATCGGAGCACGCTGCATCTACCGCGCAGCCTCCCTCGCACAGTCCTCCGTGTGGTCTTTTCACAAGCCATGACGATTCCGGCCTGCAGCGGTGACTTGGCAGCAGTCAGCGCTCCGGGCCTCGTACCGTTTGAATTACTAGCCTTCATGCCCCCGTTCGCTATGAAGCAAGCACGCATGAGCAGGAGGTCATGTGGCCTCGCATCACGTAGGAGCTTGCCCTGCGACAACCTTGACGAGCGCAGCGGGAGGCAAAACTCGAGATGGAATAGGTGCCATGCCCCACACAAGCTTGAGCTCTTGTCAAGCGGGTTCAAGCTCTATTCACACAATTCTCAGGTGGTGATTGAGTTGATGTGGCGGAATTGGGCAGCACTGGTTGGTCAACGATGAAGGGGGTGTGTTTTATTGCCTGCGTCCTGGGACAATAACATGGCTGGGCAGACAACAATAACTCTGGCCGGGGGTGTGTTGTCATCAATTCCCACCCCGGGTAGGAATTGTCTGCTATTGTTCCTCACGATCGTCGTGCAATACAAGGCTGAATGGGCGTTGGCGTTTTAATGTTGGCCAAGAAATCAAATCGATTTCGTCTGGTATTATTAATTATCAACTGGGATCCACTGCTCTGCCCCAGTCAAAAGTAGCCTGGCGTCACACACAACATGGATATATTTGGCCATGGAGAAGTATACACTAATATGGTGCAGTATTAAGTTGATTTAAGAAAAGAAAGAAAAAAAAAAAGCTCAAGACAGGACATCTAATAGCACTGTATTTTATCCGTACCTAGGCCGGGGAACAGTGATTATCACGTAATACACTACAAGTACACGCATCGCGATATACTTGACTGGTTAAATTAGTGAGTCATCACCGCGCGCGCTGGTAAAAGTTATCTCGCAATAGCCTCAGTTGTTAATTATATAAAGTAAAATATGATATAAACCGGTCACTCACACTATACTTAAACGTGGACGTAAAATACATGTTGAATTTCTCGGCCATAATAACCCTAACCCTAACCCACTGTCTTATACGTATTACTGCAGTATATTTCTGTGTGGCGCGTGATAGCCCGGTACCTGGCCTACTTCATCAATTGAGCCTTCAAGCAGCATTAGCAGTTTGCAACCATCACCATGCCACCACCGTACCCATGGAAGATGACGACCAAAGTGTCGCAGAACAAAGGTTTTACCTTATTGTCCGACACTACGACCGATTCATCCCCTCTAGTGGCCAGTACAACCATCCGAAATTACTTCTCCTAACTTACGAATATGCGGCGCCCGGAAAATCCAAGGATAATTTTCTCCAGGCCTTTTGGTAAGATACCAAAAAATATAGAAGATGTAGAGGAGCAGATGATGCGAAATTATGGGTCGGCTCAGCTCGGCCGTTTCGTACAACTGAGGATGAGTAATTGGCTGGCTGTGTAGGTGTCAGAGTGGTTGTAGACGTGGAAGCTGCCCACAGCTAGCTGCCCAAGGCCGTTGGCAGGTCGGAATTGACCATTTTTCATAGAGTCAAGCCCGGCCTGCTAGCTTTCACATACCCGATTTCGGGACATGGCACACCGAGTTATCCTTTAGACACGCAGAGACTGCGGCCAATTCTATGTCTTGCGTGCTAATACCGTGGAAAATATTGAAAGGTATAGCTATATTTAAAATGCATTTACTTGTTTAAAAGTATATTATAAGATCTTAAAGCATGTTTTCCAGTACTAGAGTATATTATAATGTGATATATATTGTATCTAATATATTACATTTCGTAAAAGGGTCCTTACATGCATTCGACTGCGAGAGGGTGAAATTAACGTGTACAGCGTACAAGTTATAAAAGTGTAAAAATAAAAGTCTTTTATTAAGAGATATCTGATGACCTGAGTCCTCTTTTTATCTTGTCAGATTTGACTTTGGTGACGCTATCATCACGTGGTGTGCTCATCTTGACTGAGAGCTTGTCTTGACTGAGTCGTAATATAATAGCCAAGTATTGTATCTAATCAAGTACTTACGTCCTACTATATATCATGACATTATGCGTTATTACCAAGCGACCAGATGAGCCTGGTTGCGGATATTAACATGCCATACTCTTTCCGGGAACTGGACGCGTCAGCAATACACATGTCGTCGTGGACAAAGGCCGGGTGGTCAAAAAGACAAAGAATGAGAATTGTACAATAGATCTTGGCTGGCACAAGACGATGAAAAATGACAATGACCGTGAGCGAAATGAGGGATCGTGAGCACAATAGACACGTGACAGCGAAATGGGAGGGAGTGGAAAACGACTCCAGCTCGGGGGTACTCTTCGAGACAGCAATGTCACTGAGCATATTTTATAAAGGCCATTGTAAGTACTGGGCGAGAAACTCGGTGGACCCGAATGCTACGTTTTAGAATGCCAGGGCAGGGTCTGAGGCAGATCCCGTTGGCGTCTTAGTTTATTTCAAATATAGTTTACCTTGAATATAATTTGCGCAGAACGCCGACCCATGAAACGGGTCAATCCAATCTTGTCATCTGGGCACCCTGCTTCTTGGCAGAAAGACAATGGCAAGGAGGAGACAAAGGTCTTCATTACGACCAAAAAGAGGTTAGTGTTGAGGGCAGACTGGGCATCCCAGGGAGTAGATGCACCAGCGAGAGGCATCGGATGCTAACCCTCGCAATGCAAAATACATATAACTAATCTCTGACCCATCAACGTCTGTGTGCTAGTCATGTCACTTGCGTAGCCGACTATCTTCAACAACCGCTGCATGTGTTGCTATTCATGCGTGGGCTGATGTTGCACAAGGGTACGTCTCCAAGGAGACATGGACGGACCAAGAATAGGCGCACGAGCGCATCTCCTCGGGTCGTTTGTAAATACACGACCAAGGACAAGGTATAAATGCATCGAGCTGCCCGTCTGCTATATCAATTCCAATTCATCAACAAGTCAAGGTCTGCCTGACCTGTCTCATACACAGTCCTCTCGTTTAAGCCTATAATCAAACCATAAATCCCCCCGACTTCACAATGGTGGCGCGAGAAGACTCTTGCACTCGCCATTTCCTTGCTTGAGCAGCGCAAAAAGCCTGGAGGCCATGTAAAACCAGACGACGGGCGGAGCAGATGCAGAAGTTGCGTCTACAAAGACGCACCCCGGATACAAAGTTCAACCAACACCGGCGAGCCCTACCAACCGACGACATTGTCATCTTGAAATTGAAAGCCCCAATTGATAAGAGCGAGACCATTGGGTACGCAACTCTGCCGGCTAGCGGTTCAGACCCGGCGGCCAATTCCAAGGCATTCATCGAAGGCTGGTAAGCGGTCCCCAAGAGCAGCACTGCCGCACAAGACGTGGACGCTGACTAGTAGACAAGGGGTACCAGCACTGGGAAAATGTACCGAGACAAAGTCGACATGCTTCGAAAAGCCTCCATTCCCATTTTCACACGCGAGGACTGCGTCAAGTTGGATCCAGAGTCGGGCGGTAGAGACTCGGTACTAGTAGTGTGCGCCGGCGGCGCCGGCCAGAATGTATGCAAGTACGACAGCGGCGGCTCTCTTGTCGACCAGGAAACGGGACAAGTCATCGGTCTCGCGTCCCTTATTATTCCACAAGCGGGTTATCAACTAGGGGACATGATGCTGTGCAACGAAGCTCCTACCCTGTTTACCAGAGTCGGCAGCCATGTTCGTTTTATTCTCGAAAACCTCGGGGCCTCGAAGCAGCCTTCCAAGCAGCGAGAACAGTCAGAGGCAGACAAACAGCTTCAGACTCATTGTGGCCGCTCCGGTAACGAGAAGACGTGCATGCGCGCCGCGTTTCGCTGTACCGGCCAAGTGGAAAAGGACGCACCTATCCGGCAATTCCTTGAATTCGTTGACAGAATGCAGGTCTGTGCAGACCAAGATAATGACACGGATAAGTGCATAGCCAAGGCCAAGGAGTGCAAGGAAAAGGACAAGTTGCCTCTAGGGGATGTGGCCAAGCTTGCTCAGTGTGCAAAGAAAGATTTGTAGGCAAGGTCTATGAGGGCACATGAGAGGTGACAATGGCAATACTAGGAGTTGGATACATGCCCAAGCCTCGAATTTTTGTTGCAGGAACTGAATATAGTGTTGGGAGTTGTGTTAGTGTTTCGGACTCGATACTCCTGACCAAGTAGCATTACGTGAAACCATGACTGGCGGCGGCAATGAAATGTTTCCTCATAGTGTATTGGAAAATAAAAGGGACGAACTGAATCCTATCCACAATTTATTTCTGACAATGTAAAAAAATCTTCTAGTTAAATTTCCGATTAAAAAATACGAATCCGTACCCGATCCAGTGTATAGCGTTGTATATAATCAACAAGTATGACCGTACTTTAACCGGAACTGCAGATTCCAACGAGGGTCACACTGTCCCGCTGTGTTTATTGAGGCCATAATGCCAGTGATACCAAGTATGGCCGCAATTGCCAGATTGACACAAGGTCTAGGCTTCTGGAGGCGCGCCTCGTTATCGCCTACAGTAAGTTGATCTCGCGATATAGTAAAATATGAACTAGTGCTATATTATCATTAAGCTTATTGTGTTTTGGTCCTATCTACATAGTCATACAAGCACTACATCAAGTAACAGCTAGTAGAATAACGCCATACCTTTATAGCCAAGCCAAAGAAACCGTACTATACCGCGATAGACTATGACCACGTCGTAATGCTGCAGAAGCTAGCACGATTAGTGAAGAAAGACACGAAAGAGCTAGCAGATGTAAAATAAAAGCCAGTTTCACCTCATCTCAGAGTAGCTAGTGCTATATAGCCACTAGGGATTAGTTAATATAAAACCAAAATTAATAGTATAAAATAGCAGAGTATATTATATAAAAAGTGTAACAGCTAGGTACTTGGCTGCTCCATCTTTTCACCTCTTACTATATATCATCACATCATGCGACACTGCAAAGGTACCGACAAGTCAGTCTGTCAGGCGATCGGCCAAGAGCATCAAGGCCGGGCAGTGTAAAATATGCCGCCTGCTCACCAAGACAACATGATAGCACTGTCAGCCCGACAGTTGACAGACAACCAACTTGACCACGTCGAGTCCGATAATGCAGCAGCCCCCAAACACAAATCCACGGTCGGGCCGAGTTTCACACCATTGATGGACGCTCAACCACATCCATACCTCATCCGTCTCCCACCGCCAAAACACCAACTCGACAACCACGGCGGCACCAGCGCCCTGCCCCAAGAAGGAGACGTTGTCATTGTCGGTGCCGGATTCGCAGGCTTGGTATGCGTATGCTACATCTGCCAGCAATCGCCGTTGCCGCGCACCACCATCCTCGAGGCGAGAGACGCTTGTTCAGGCGCAACCGCTCGCAACGGCACGTCCTACATTCACAACCACCCATCTATCCCATCAATTGTCCCGACGATATCCCAGGCGGGGTCACCTACGCCCAGACTCTCTGGCCACACTCCAAAAGTTCACGCCCGTGTTCCGCCATTGCCCAGTTTGAGCTGGACAACTGCCAGACCGTGAGGTCCCTCATTGAAACAGAGCAGACTGCATGCGACTATGTGACAAGGGCTCGTTGGAGGACTTCAAGTAAAAGGGCTTAATTTAATAATAATCTCTTAAAATATTAAAGGTTCTTAGTTTTTTTAAGTTATAAGGTAAAAGGGAATTATCTTATATATATAAAAGAAATAGCTTATATTAAATATACCTTATAATTCTTATAATTTTCTTATATAATAAAAGGCTTTTAATTTTAC